CCCTACCTGCTCCAGCTGCCCACGAGGCTCCGCCCGTCGGCTCCACTCTGCGGCCGCGCCTCCGAGTTGTCTCGCAGGTTCAGGTGAGTCAGAGGGCCTGGGGGTTCTGCGGGGGAGCAGGCCACCAGCCAGACCAGGCGACCGCACTTAGCCGCGGCTGCACCCCTATTGTGTCCGCCCTTGACCCGCGGTGCCCTTCCCACCTCCGTGGGGTCCTTTCCAAGTTGAGTCCACACCAGTCAGCCCACCAAAAAGGGAGGGGACGTTTCCCCTAATCTCCTCCCCTCGGGAACCTCCTGGAACCTTCTCAAGGTGCTCACCCTTCAGCCAGCTCTTGAGGAATTATTCACAGCGCTCTCCTCCCCCTGGAGCCCGCTCTCCCCACCCTAAAGGCATCTCCAAATCGTTCATTTTAACGCAGGATTGAGTCACCCCTCCAAGGAGCTCTGGGTTCGAGCTCAGCCTTGTCACCACGTTGCTGTGTGGCTTTGGGTGAGACACTGCTGTCTCTGGACCTAGTTCCTTCCTCTGTGGAAGGAGGGGGTTGGAAAGGTGATGAACTTGGAGGCAGCCGCTGTTTTCATTTTCTAGGGCTCCTGGGCCACAGTAGGATGCCAGGTGAGGTGTTTGCTCACGCCAAGAGCAGGATAAGGGCGGCCTTAATCAAGATTGGGGGGCCTGGAGGCTCTGAAAGCAGGAAAGGATGGGAGGTGGCCAAAGACCCTTGTGCCTTTAAAACGCCCCTGCTCTGGGGGGTGGGGGGTGGGGCGGGATGCTGGCCTCAGCTGTGGCCCAAGCTAGAGAAAGCATTCCACACTTTCCCACCTCCAGCAGCTGGCACATCTGGCTTAGTCACCCTCCGTGACGGACTCTGCCAGACGGATTTTTGTTCCTCCACCGGCCTGAAGGCGGAGGCGGAGAGGATCCGGGACGGGAAGGCCGCCTGCAGTGAGCGGCGGCACCGACCTTGCTCAGAATAGGCCCATTCACGGACTGGGGGAAGGGGCGGGGCTGCGGTTGGGTTAGGGGCGGCTGGCCCCCCTACCAAGAGACAGCAATAGAAAAATGGCCAACGCAGCTTCAGCGCGGGGCGCGGGAGTGGGTAGAAGGCAGAGGGAGTGAATGCAAAGAAAAGAGGTCCAGTGGCTCCTAGACACCAGGTTGCCAGGCAACTCAAAAGGAAGAAGGGGAACAAGGAGTCCCAGGTTCCTTTGCAGCTCCGTGGGCAGCCTTCTTGGGCCTCATTTTCCCCATCTGTACAATGGGAGTCTTTCTCGTGATGCTCGAGGGGCCTCGTCAAGGGCCTCGGGAGGGTAAACGCTCACCTGCTGCCCCCACAGGGTCCATGGCCGCGTTCTGCTCCCTCACAGCCCTCAGGGTGCGCCCCGTGCTGCTGCCCTCAGAACCCTGAGCACTCCTGCTCCCGGGCCCTCGCGCCGGATATAGCCTACCCCCGCCTTATCTCAAGGCCCCCGGCTCCCGGCCCGCTGTTTGCTCTGGGCAGGGCACCTGCGGGGCAGATGTGGGCTTCCCACGGCCACCGAGCCAACGGAGCCAGGCCCGGGAGGCGCCCCCTGGCGGCTTCTCCTGAGAGCTGGAGGGGAGTCAGGCACTAAGCCTGGAATTCAAGTGCGCGGTGGGTTTTGGCCACGCAGTGCCCGCCCCTTACCCTCTCAACCGGAGCGCCCGGCCCTCCCCGAGGCCTGCGGTGGCGCGGTGTGTGGCTGAGTGTGTGTGTGTGTGTGTGAGCGTGTGTGTGTGTGTGATTGTGTGTGTGAGTGCGTGTGTGTGTGAGCGTGGCCTGCGGTGGCGCGGTGTGTGGCTGAGTGTGTGTGTGTGTGTGAGTGAGTGAGCGCGTGAGCGCGTGTGTGTGTGAGTGTGTGTGTGTGTATGTGTGAGCGTGTGTGTGTGTGTGTGTGTGTGTGTGTGAAGGACAGCCACACAGAGGCGCCTGTACAGGGAGGGGAAGGGGACCCGCGGGGGGAATGGCTTCCTTCTGCAGAGGTTTTCCTCCCCGGGAAGCGGGAAGCGAGGGCGTGGAACAGTCGCTACCGGTCCCCTGGGTGTAGGATTACCTCCCAGCGCAGCCACTTTCTTGTCGTGAGACTTTGGGTTCCGGCGCTCAAATTCGTTGAGCCTGTTTCCTAATCTGTACAATGGGAACAGTAACAGCGTGTCTCATAGAATTGTTGAGAGGACTACCTGCCACAATGCGTGAGAAGCGGTTAACATTGTGCCTGGCACAAGGAATTCAGCAATCTCACTGTAATGAAAACTAATTATTGTGAAAAGATACACGAAAGTAGAGAGATTAGTAAAATAAACCCAGGATCCTCCTACGCCTCCAACTGCCCCTCACCCAGAATGAGGGTTCTGCAGATACTATTGTTTTGCCATTTCCTTTCCCCCCTCCAGGCTCTGACACCCCGTTTCCTGTCCCCCAAGTGCCATGAGGGGCCTCCCCTGCTCACCACTGCCCATATTGCTGCTCCTTCTCCAGCCCTGGGAAACCCAGCTCCAGTTCGAAGGTGAGCAGGGGCCCAGCCCTGACAGCGAGGGGCGAGGAACAGAAGCAGGTTTTCTGTCCGCAGCCAGCTAGGCCTGCTGGGAGAGAAAAGCCAGACTTTGGAGCCCCCCCCCCCCCCCCCCCCCCCCCCACACACACAGCAGACTGGGTTCGAATTCACCCTGGGCCTCAGTCTCCTCATCTGTAGGATGCGGCTTAGAGATAACAAGATTGGGCTCATGCAGAATGCCCATTTGGTGTTAAATTTTTCAGAGCTAATTGGAAAAAAAATCAAGAGATTTCACATAAAAATCCATATTTGGGACTTCTCTTTAAAAATCCAAGGATCTGCTACCACGGATCTGCATGGCTGCATGCAACTTTTGGCTGCAGCTGCCCACTCTAGGAGGGATACGGGCTCTGGGTGCCCGCCATCCTACCCCACCGGTTCACTCATTTATGTTGCCCACCTGGCTCCTACAGGCATTTGAGTTGCGACGTTCCCTCTCCCTCTCCCAAAGGGGTAATGCCTCCTCGGAATAGCCCTCAGAGCTGTGGGATAGAGGACCGGTGAAATCTCCCAGCCCAGGCCCTCAGCACATGCTGGGCCAGTGAAGGCATCTACCATGCAGTTGCCAGGGTAGTTAAGTGTGGGCGCTGTTATGCAGGGAGGGTGCCATTCCGCCCTGGTTTTCCCTGGGGATCTCCTCGGAAAGGAGGCTTCGCTGACCTAGGAAAGTCCTTCCTGGTCTCCTCGCAGGTCCCAGGTGCCGCACTGGACCCCTGGACTTGGTGTTTGTGATTGACAGCTCGCGCAGCGTGCGCCCCTTCGAGTTCGAGACCATGCGGCAGTTCCTGGTGGGCCTCCTCCGCCGCTTGGACGTGGGGCCCAACGCCACGCGCGTCGGCGTGATCCAGTATTCGAGTCAAGTGCAGAGCGTCTTCCGGCTCGGAGCCTTCTCGCGCCGCGAGGACATGGAGCGCGCCATCCGCGCTTTGGTGCCCCTGGCGCAGGGCACCATGACGGGGCTGGCCATCCAATACGCCATGAATGTGGCCTTCAGCGTGGCCGAAGGCGCGCGCCCGCTGGAGGCGCGCGTGCCGCGAGTCGCTGTGATCGTGACCGACGGGCGGCCCCAGGATCGGGTGGCGGAGGTGGCGGCGCAGGCGCGCGCCAGCGGAATCGAGATCTATGCGGTGGGGGTGCAGCGCGCCGATGTGGGCTCTCTGCGCGCCATGGCCTCGCCCCCTCTGGACGAGCACGTCTTCCTGGTCGAGTCCTTCGACCTTATCCAGGAGTTTGGCCTGCAGTTCCAGGGCCGGCTGTGTGGTGAGTTGGGGAGCGCTGGAGGGAGGCTCAATGTGCCTCCATTCCCATTCCTGCCCCAGTGCCTCCCCGCACCAGGCGGGGCCCCGCCCACCAGAGAGAGGAGGCGCCCAAGGCCTAACGCAGCCACGCAGCCACGCTGTGTCACAGGCCAGCTCTGGCCACTTTTGCTTAGGCTTCACCCACCAGGAGCAACATTTGGCGCACTCTCCAAGTAGGATGAGCTGTGGCTTACCACAGGCTTCATGTCCAACTCCAACACCGCCCCTCAACACTGAAAGCGCCGCCCCTCAAAGATGAGGGCCCACTACCCACTCCAAAGAGTCATGTCTCGCCCACACGGGCATGGCCCTGCCCGCTCGCACCTTAGCTCCTCCTCCAAGCTGATAGAGCTGTTTGAGTCACACCTCGGGTGACTCCGCCCACCTGGATTCAGCGCCTCTCCGCCTCTACCTGCATAGTCCTGCCCCAGCCCATTACACAGATAGCCCAGCCTCCCTCTTCTGAGCCTATTCACAGGGGCTGTGAACAGGGCCCTGTTCCTTCCCGCTCAGATCGGCCCTTCTCGAGTGAATCATATCCCACCTAAGTCCAAACCTGATCATGGTTCCTGCCTTTGACCCTGCCCAGCTGTCTCCTGTTGGAGGGTCTGCCCATCTGTCCCCTGCTCTTCTACTCTTGTGTGTCCTCAGGAAAGAACCTGTGTGCTGAGGGGGGACACGGCTGCCAGCACCAATGTGTCAGCTCCCCTGGCACCTTCCACTGCACCTGCAACCCCGGCTACCAGCTAGCAGCAGATCACAAGGGCTGTTTGGGTGAGAACTATTCCGGCCCTGCCATCCTGAGCCTTCCGAGGCTCCCCATTGCCCCAGCATCAGCCCAATGCGTCTGGAAAGGTCTTTGGAAGTAAAGTCCAGCTCCCTCGCTTTATAGGTCTGAGAAAGGGAAGGCATGCCTGGAGCCACACAAGTCCTTGATGTGACCACGGCTGGAAACCGTGACCCCGCAATTAAGTGTGCTTTCTGCATCCTCCCGTCTCCTGTCTGGCTCCAATACACCTCCCAAATGTGTTTGTGTCTTCTCACAGGCACGTCTTTACAGTTTCTGTAACTTAGACACTGTTGGAGTCTTCACTTATGGTCTCCATACACCACCTCCCCTGCCAGGTACATGCTGTCATTCCTGCTTCTGCATCTCACCTAGGCTGCTCACCTGGGCTCTCTTCCTGCTCCTCCCTGCACCTGCAAATCTTTCAAGGCCGGGTTCTTTATTTTTGCCTCCTGAAAAGCCATGGCACACAATGCCTTTGCTTGTACAATTGGCACTTTCTTTTTCATGTGTATCTGTGTCCACTTCTTTCATCTTAATGACAGATACCATGTGCTGAGTGCCAAGTTAATATCAGACATTGTGCTTGGAGCACTGCATACATTATCTCCCAACCTCACCACAACCTGGAAAATGAGGTCATGTGAATTGTGCTTGGAGCACTGCATACATTATCTCCCAACCTGGAAAATGAGGTCATGTGGTCCCCATAATGTCCGCTGGGGGTTTCTTGTTTCTAGAACTTTGACAAAACTGGTTTGAAACCCCATGTGATGACCCATGAACATCCCAATCCCTCCCCCAGATCTCTGGGAATTCCCCAAGTGCTTACATTCTGTGGCCCCCTCTCACTCTGAGCTTCTGCAGAATTCAATCAGTTTATGGCTCCTCTCTCAATTTCTCAACCCCACACATGCTGTCCTTGTTCTATGCGCATAAATCAGCCTCTTCCTTGGTTCACACACTTGTACACACAACTACATGTGTGTGTACTTGTAAGTGCGTGCATATGCCCATTTCACTAAAGATGAGGTAGACACAGGTGTGAATTACATCTCAGTAAAGCCAAACATACCAGTACACACACCAAAGGAAACATCCTTTTTCAAAAATCTTTATTGCTGAAAGTATTACAGATGTCCCCTGAAACATCCATTTTATAAATAATTGAATACTAAGCACCCTTGACCCTGAAAGCCCTCGGTCACCCACTGCAAGGGATTTTTTTACTGGCATTCTCAACCCACACAGCCATTCATCTTCACACCATTTGTCTTGTTCTTTTTCTTCCTCTCTCCACTTCCCCCTCTTTTCTAGAAACCCCAAATTCTCACTTTTTTTATGCAGAATAACTCACCTCTCTCCAGCCCTTATTCCCCAGTGCAGCGCCAGGCCATCTTTGCACATCTAAGCCATCAAGATACGCAGCAGGGCAATAGCTCACCTTCCCCAGAAGGAAGTTGTAAATAGCAATGGCTCTCTTCCATTGTTTCCTCATTTTGCAGGTGGGGAAATGGAGGCTCAGATGGGTGAAGTGGCAGGATCTAGTCCTCCTGCATTAGTCAGTGAGCATCTTCAGGGCAGGGGCCCTGTCTTCCACAGCTGTGGATTCTCTGTCTTAGTCCTGGCTTAGTAAGGCGCCCTCTGGGATGCATCTGGGTCTTGAGTTGGTAGGGCCACCTGGCCCAGAGCAAGGAGGCCTGTGCATATAGAAATCACAGATGCCTGGTTACCACCCCAGGTTAATTAAATCAGGATAGTTGGGAATTGCAGTACAGGCATCAGAGAAGTAGGGAAAGGGATAGAGAGATAGAAACATCAATGATGAGAGAGAATCATTGATCAGCTGCCTCCTGCACACCCCACACTGGAAATCAAGCCTGCAACCTGGGCATGTGCCCTGACCGTGAATCGACCTCCTGGTTCATAGGGTGACACTCAGCCACTGAGCCGTGCCAGCTGGTTGGGGCGTGGGTATTTTTTAAAAGCTGTGCTGTCAGGGCTGAGAAGTGCAGCCCCCAAAGTATATGCCAGCCTCCCCTCTTCCTCAGCCATTGACCTGTGCACTGAAGAAACTCATGGCTGTGAGCACCACTGTGTCAGTTCCCCAGGTTCCTATTCCTGTTGATTCAGAGCTGGCTTTGTACCCCAGCAGGACCAGAGGAGCTGCAGGGTTGAGC